ACAATTCACAACAATGATCTTATCAGGATTTTGCCTATAAGGGTGATGTACCTCTGTAAGTTAAAAATATGGAAGAGATATGTTTTTAAAAGCATAAGAGTCTTTTTCATTATTCTATGTTCTTTTATATTCAGGACAAAAATTTTTTTGTTATTCTCACATACATAGTTGTTTACATATATTTCTCCAAACATCATGCACACATAACTCTATCTATGTATATTTTATACTTGGTTTGTCAGTCGCTGCTAAAGTCATCCTTTTTTGGCAGGTTGGCTAACACGGAATTCATGGCATAGTATACTAATCAATGCCAAATACAAATGGAAAGCTGTGAGTTAGGTAGGAAATACCTCCGTTTTACTCAAAATAACACCAACAAATGAAACATAAGGATTATTTTGGAACTACATATTTTTTTGCAATTCATTTTTCTTAGAAGGATATAGTTATATCTTATAAATCAATGACTCCTTTTTAAAATCTTTGCCAATGAAATAATATGATCTCACTGGGTGAAGATACCAATTATTTTAAATCCATATGGAGAATTAAGTGGTAAAGTCAAATTAATCATTTTATCCTCTGGGTTGGACACAAAAGAACCTGTTTTTTACGTTGATAGTGTTTTCAAACCACATAACTATAACCTTTATGTGTATTGTTTTTAAATAGAAATGACACAATACATTTTCAATTGAAGCATTCATAATCTGGATAACCAATTTGGGTATATATTCATGTCAATATTTTCTTAGATACATATATAATTAAATTATTTCTAATATCCTACATTTAACTCAATGAAAGAATAATACTTCGTTTTAAAAGAAGTATAGTTCCATAATTAAGGTATGAATACTTCATTTACATCCATGTTGTAATAATGTAATTACCGTATGTGTGGTTTGACAAAGGTCCTCTCTTTGGACCAACTGTGGTAGATTTAGTGAGCTTACGCATGGTTATGGATTGAACCTTGAAAGGATTTTCCCTCTATCTGAAACTTGCCACAAAAGAATGAAATAACACATAAACTTTTTGAATATAAATTATTCCAATAGAAGAATAGGAGAACATGATTTAGGCAAAAAATCATTTCATGCATCATTTTACATAGATTTTGATTACATCAGAGATTATGACACAGCTACACCCATAACATAAGCCAAGAATCAACCATTTGGAAAATATGGTTGATCTAAAAAACTGCATAGTCCTTACATACTCTGTTGCAGTGCATACATACAACACTAATTACATCATTGCATAAAATTGCATACAACATACACATAGCATCCAACAAAATCCAAAAATAAACTTCACCCTTGACCTAAATATTTTACATAATCATGCATGAACCACCATTTTCAAACATGGTCCTCCCCAGTTAGCCAACGAAAATCCATTGTTACCACCATCTTCCCATCAAAATATTTTCTGTTCAGCCTTTTCTTTCGGGGAGACCGCCTAGGGGTTGGTGGGCTTATTGCTATCCCCGCACACTCTTCCATTACCTCTATAGGAGCAGGGTGAGTATCAGCCATTGAAACAATCTCTTCGCCAACTTGAGATGTTAATGGCTGCATATCAACATCACCCAGTTCAACTTCTTCCTTAACCAAAGTTTCACATGGCTGGAGATCATGCATCTCAACAACTTCTTCCTTCACATGAAATTGAAATGGCTGAACATCTGCCATTTCAACTTCATGTATGATTTCAGGGATCATGCCAAAGTAGTCCAGTTCATCCATAGGATGAATATGACTTAAGCATTCCTCACACAGCCAGTTAAGATTAGGATCAAAAGACAGCTCCTGCATGCAGTACCGGTGTGCTGCATTTGGGCATACTGAACACTTCACAATCAGATGCCCCCATTCACCACTGCCGCAGTACCCACAAATCATATTTGCTATTTTTTTTCCCATCTTCCTCTACCTATAATTTGAAAAATAAATCCATAAGTTTTTTTTTTTGGAAAAATTGGGCATGCGTGCATTAGTTTTCCACCTTAATCCATTTTTAGCAAACACAGGAAATGGTTGTTAAAAAATGTGAAACACTTTAAGCTAGTACGCAAATTTGTTCCAGGAGATATTTCTTTTTAAGGAAAAAGTTGAAAACTTATAAGTGGATAACACAATAAATGATGGGATAGGGTAGATGTCTATGTTAAAAGAAAAAGTTGAAAATTTAAGGTAGATATAATATAATAAATGCTGAGAAATGGTATATGGTAAGAATCTTAAACATTTAAAGCAGCAACCCACATACAGAGCATAGGATAAAGATGCTTCCGGATTTGGTTTACCTGAAGGCTGAAGCAAGTACAAACTACCCTTCAAAGCATTCACTTCAATGCTAAGTGAATCTACGTGATGTGGAGAGTATGAAAAAGGGAGTAGGTGGATTGCATTTATATAGAAGCATCCTTTGTGTGCTTTTCACATTCATTTTTTTAGTGAACATAAAAGCCCCCAACCTGTCAAATCTGACTGGAGCAATTGGCTGCTCACTTATTTAGCTGCAAGTATCTTTTTTTATTTGCTTATCATAACAGCCCCCAACCTGTCAAATCATATTCAATGGCTCCGTATTATACATGCTACCCCATTAAATATCTATTACATTGCATTCAAATTTAAAAAAAAAACATTTTACTCCAAGCACATTACAGACATGTAAGATTTCAAATCTGCTAAAAAAATATTCTTTTATGTAATTAAATCAGACTCCTCAGCAAATAATACTCTATAAATTTCATTTTTTTTTATATTGCGAGTGAACTATTATTTCTATGTAATTTAGTCATAGTAAATAAAGTTTTGCCCAAAAATTAACTCACATGTAATTTAGTACGGATCACGGACTCTAGGACTCTAGAAGTGTTCCGTATAATTTACATATAAAAAAACAAAGTCTCTTTTTCTGTAATTTAATCATACTAATTCTAACAGAATAGTCTTTCTCTAAAACATTTAGAGAAATATCTAAATGTATTTTGATCCCTCAAAATATTTAAACTAAATAAACACCACATAATTTTTGATCCCTCAAAATACTTACTGAATGGGAAAAACGGCTTCTTTTGTTAAAGTGAAATATCTTTTCACTGTCACATCAGAGGTCAAAAGATGATAGAGGCTGAATACAATGATGATACCTTGTGCACAAAAGTAAAGTCATTTAGACTTTAGTGTGGGCTATGGTCATTATCACTCTGGAAAGCACATAATGATACCTACTCATTTAGTGTGGGCTATGGCCATTATCACACAGACGCAATCACCACGCCTAAAAGTAAAGTCATATGGACTTTTCAAGGCTAGCTTGTGTACGAAATTATGCAACCACATTTGGGCAAAAATATTTATATACTCCATATTAAATCCCTTTATATTCAAATACATATTCACTTAAAATACTTTTGGAATTGATAAAGTACCATTTATATTTTTTGTAAATCATATTTGTATAACATATAAATACTTTAAGGTATACATAAATGCACTAATATAATTGAGTCTATCCAAAGACCTTTATATATTAATTTCGATTGCAAATATCTAATTATTTCAAACTATATCTACATTCATCACATTTCCTACTTAGTAAGGTATTCTTTCAACACTACACATTACTTTCAGAACAAATAAATAATGTCCAACTATGTCCCAAACAGTGTCTAACCATTAGTTTTTATTCACAACTATCTAATTACTTAATCTTTAATCAATCCTGATTTAATACTATGTAGTATCTTTATCTTATACCATGTCAAACTTTAATACACAGCACTGTTTTCCAATTGAAACCTATTATATATACTCCGTATTCATTAACACTAAGCATGAGATTCTCATCAAAGAAACAACAACATGAATTATTTTATACAACAATTTAGTACTAATTTCAAAAGCATCGTATCCCTAATATTGATTTTAAGTATACCAAATCCACGATTTAATCCTATATTAGTCCTAATTTAATGGTTCATACGTCTAAAACCATTACCTACATTCCAAAAATATAATAAACTTCCTTAATCTCAGGTAACTCCCATCCCGTTATAATATATTTGATACCACATATTTTAAATTTTTCTTACACTGGATTATATTCTAAAAGATCTATAATCATCATGTTATTCAGAGTATATTTTTTTATAAAGGAAGTAATAACTGTAATTGAATTTAACCTTTAACTTAATATTAGTGCACGACAGTCAATTATCAAACCATTAGATTATTTGAAAAAGATAAGTTATTTGGGATACACAGTTCCAATTCATGTGTATTGATCAATCTTTAATTTGATTAACTTAACCCTCTAAATGTCATTTTCAGATTTTTCCGTCAAACAAATATTAACTTCTAACCTTTAAAGTCAAAGGTACAATTAGGAACACCCAAGGCACATGTGAGCGTAAAGGTAACTTCTGTGAGATATCTATCTATCTATCTATATATATATATATATATATATATAACTTTTGATAGTTTTTTTCACAACAGTTTAGTTTCAAACTGTTTTACTCCCATAGACATACGTAGTACATGATTCGTGTTGCCAACTGAAACTGTGTGTTATGAAATTTCTGAAATGAGAAGTTTTTTTTTTTGAAAATATACTATTGACAACATTGATCTGATATTATTTTTTAAATATGTGATCACATTAGGATTTTGTAAATCAGAGCGATTTAAATCTCCACCGTAAACTTGCATGAGCTCAACTCCCTTGAGATGCTAGACTAAAATTTGTAGTGTAAAAATGATTGATCCTTTCTTTCTTTCTTTTTAAATTCAGGAAAGACCTTTTTGCATTTGTTAAATTCAATAGTGTTACACAATAAAATTAAATAATTGGAATTAGAACACTACCAATACCATTATTTTCAGAATAGGTTACATTATACTTGGCAATAAATGCCATTCCTTACAAACTTGGGATAAAAATAGATTACCTAGCAAGTAATCAACATCCAAACTTTGTATCATAACCTGATCTTTTCACTAACATAATCTAGGCCGCAAAAAACAAAAAAATCTGAAGCACATAGTTTGGTCTAGCTAGCTTAAACAGAAAATGTAATAAACTGTTATTACTTCTCCACTTTCACTTTCTTCAACTTCTTCACTGGCTCAAGAGATGGGCGCTCAAAAGATGGGCACTCGACAGGTGGGCGCTCAACAGATGGGCCCTCAACAAACAACTTTTTCTTGACACCATCAGAGTTTATCACAATTTCTTTCCTTTTTTCTTTTGTCAGCAAGGGGCTTGTCTCCGCAACATTCAATGTGATGATCTTCAATGAGTAAACAAAACTTTAGGCACCAAAAGTTTAAGTTTAAATACTCAGTTTTAAGGTTTAAGTTTTAAGTGGAACCGTTGAATATCCATTAAAAAGTAGCTTGAAAAAAAAAACGATAAGAACTTCATAGACATACTTCTTTAGGAGCAGAAAACTCCTTTTTAAGAAGAGTGAAATCATCTTCTTCCTCCACTGCTTTTCCTTTATTCTCGTATAACGACATCACATTAGGATCACAATTCATTCCAATCACACTAAATGTTGGCACACCCCTGTAGCTTATGATTTCTGTCTTTGTTTGAACTCGAAACAATCCCTTAATCCCAACTAAACAATCAATCTCAACTGGAAAATAGTAAGGTCCCACACCTTTCTGTATATTCCAAACTTAAACACATTAAACTTGAAAATTTTATGGCATATAAGAATAGTATACTGAAATGTATCTTTAAAAAACCTCTTCAATCTCATCGCGAAGAGCATTTGCCGGTTTTCCCACCAAAACACTGCATTCTTTGTCCCAAAACACAAAAGATGCATGACCCGTGTCATCCATCACCCTCATATTCACCTTATACCTGAAATTTTTCAATGCTTTAGCATGAATCGGTGACTGCCAGTAAAAAAAAAACCATTTTAAATAAGCCAACCTCAGAATCACTTCTGTTGTGTTGCACACAACACACCGGAAAGTATCCCCTTCAGGTAAAACTTTCCTACTGCAGCCCTTGCAAGAAATATAGTACCAATCTCGATAGCTATCAATTGCCAAAATCTCTCCATAGACCCAATGCTTACCTTCCTATTTTTATTTGTACATAGTAAACCTGTTTCAATATATATACATAAAACATCCATTAATTTATAATGAAATGCTCTACTATATCACAACCTCCTTTGTTTTCATGAGATCATTAATCGAAACCATCTTGACATTCCCACTTTCAAGGTCATCTGGGAAAGTTGGAGTCACAAAAGTACCCAAGGCTACTCCGTCGCCATCATCATCGTTATCTGGCCCAAACCTAAGTCATTTAAGATAACACTTGATTAAACCCCAGTCCATAAACTGTGGTTCAAGCTATTTAAGAATAGCTTACGTTGCTTTGAACTCCGCACACTCCTCACAGTCTCTGTTCAGCAGCATCTTCGTTACATTGAACATGTTTGTCACTCCCACACGACCTAAAAGTTTACACTGTTAAGCATGAATCACACACTGAAAAGCAATATTAGTTTCATCATACCCTGATATTTTCTTGGACGGCATAGTTGAAGAATAAGAATGATAGACTTAGGTTTAGTCTTCAGAAAATCTACCAACTGATCCACCAACTCCTCCCAAAGTGTGCATGAGATAGTATTTCCACTACAAAATATGATATAGATTTCAGATTTCAAACTTACCACAAACACTTGAATTTTGAAGTTTGAAATACTTACAGTGCATCCCCAAGAGTAAGATCAATCAACTGTGTTTCTCTGCCATTCTTTGTTAGGGCCTTAGGGTTTGACAGGGAAGTAACCTTGCCAATCACATCTAAAAGAGATTTTTTTTTTTTATTTAAGTAATGTTCTTTTATTAAACATTTAATGAAATCATTGTTTTTAATGAAAATGGTCACCTATGGCATGTGTTTCATCCACAACTTCCATAGCTTGCAAGGCAGCAATCGTTGTAAAGTCAAACATTTTCATTGGGAAATTGATGTTTGTACAAGGTAGTCAAAGTCGAAAGGCGCACCTGAAGCGCTAGGGGTCTTCTAGCGCCTGAGGCGCAAGGCGCAAAAAAGCGCTCGCCTGACTCGGGTGAAGCGCATTACTTAGATAAAATCACATATACTATTCTATACTTACCAAACATGATGTATGTAACATCATATTGAACCAAATGCATATAAAATTTAGGATTCACCAAAATAAAGTCATGATTCACAAAAAATAAAACACCAAATTTAGAATTCATGGCTTTAATACATAAACTATAAATGAAAGACAATCAAATTGGAGCCTATTTCCCCTTGTTAAACTTGTGAGCCTACATAGTACTATTACTTTATTAATAACATAGCAATATACTAATGTTGTGAGTAACATAAAGTAATACAGAGTATTATGACTATTATATACAAAGCAATATACTAATGTTGTGGGTGATATAGAGTAATATTGAGTACTATTACTTTGTTATATACATAACAATATACTAGTGCTGTGAGTAATATAGAGTAATGCAGAGTATTAATACATTATTATGAGTAATATAGAGTATTATATACATAGTAATATACTAGTACTTTATTATATACATAGAAATATACTATAAGAGCACATATCTTGTTTGGTGGTGTGCGGGAGAAGTTACTATAAAACTTGTTAGAAAAAGGAACAAACATAACTAAAAGAAGAAAATCTTTACTTGTTAGGAGATAAAGTATAAAACAAAACAAGAAAATAACAGATAAAAGAAAGAGAAAAGATAAAGATATAAACTTTTAAATGATAAGATAAAAATAAAAAAAGAAGATGTTGATTTTACATTCAAAAGGCAAAATTAAAAAATAAGAAAAGAAGAAATTAAAAAGACCAGAAAGAAGATGGAACATATGGGAGGAAAATGTTACCTTGTGCATGTTGTGTAGGTTGTGGGTCGAACACAGGAAATAAGAATGCTACGGTGAAAACTTTCTAAGTTTAGTAGTCTCCTTAATACATTCACTAAGAAGGGTTTTAACAAGGTTTAACTGTTTAAGTTGTTTTCCCCTATTAGTTGGATGGGCTATATCTTATTATTGATATGGGTTTATTTAAAATAGGCCCAAATCTTATTTTAAAAAATTTAGAACCCTTTACCGGTCAGGCGTGCGCTTCTAGCGCTTCTGCGCCTCTTGCGCTTCGTGCGCTTCTTGCGCTTATATTGCGCCTCAGTCAGACAGCCTCGCCTGGAAGAGTATAAGGCGCTGCACCTCTATAGCGCCTCGCCTGGTGCGCTTAAGCGACAAGGCGCGCGCTTTTGACTACCCTGTGTTTGTAATCTGAAAAGATTCAGTTTTGTTGATAAATAGCAGCTTGAAAGCATTCCTTGTTGTCTTGAAATTCATGTAGTTGTTTTGAACCAAAACATGCCTTATTGCATAAACATGGCCTTCCTTAAACAGGGACCGAAACTTTGCAAACCTGATGTTTCCCAACATGTGCATGAATTTTTGTTCCCTGGGAAAAAAGTTGTTAGTTCATAAATGTTATACACTTCGTATATGAATTGCAATAAAAAAAACTTTTCAAAGTATACATGTTTTATAAATCTAGTTTTCAAAGCAAACACTACCTCCTTATCATGGAAAATACACTGCAATGATTCACCATGAATTCCGTATGCTGGGATTTGATAAACACGAACTGCTCTAGCTTTGAAGGTCCAAGAAGTCTTTGATTGATCAAAATCCTTTATCAAAGACCACATGTCAGACATTTTTTGTAGCAAAGAAATCAATGCAAAACTGAAGGAAGGGATGATGCAAATGTGAGCTAGAATGTCTATTTAAAGGAAGGTAAGATGCATTGTCCACACATACTATACACACATACACTTGTGTGTTATAATTTCCAGCTGTCAACCACTGAACGTAGGAGTAATGATATCACTCCAGTAGGGAGCAATTGTGAATCCTAGCTAAATATCATTATTTAATGCTATTAGAGCAACAAATTGCTTAACTAAATAGGTGTAATGATGCAAATTTGCTTTTTTTCTTCAGAAAAGCAGCTTGCCCAGCCGCCAAAGCAGAAGGAGATGCCTTTTCAATCAAGAAACAGTGGACTTTAACCCACCTTTTTGCTAATGCCTAACTGTGAATCACGGCTGCACCATTCCTAATGTAATAATTAATTCCTGTTGCTCAAATTTACCCTTCAAAGGGATCTTTATGTAATTTCATTTATGGACTCTTGCCTTAGGAATATGGGCGGGAACACTGTTGAAAAAACAGTGCTTTCAGGGATTTTGCTTTTATATTATAGTAGATGTTATGAATGTACTTCGAAGCATATTTCACGTTTGAACACAGAATACTGCGCACGGAAATTCTTACTCAAAGGAATTGGAAGTTCAAGTGCCCTACAATTGTAAGAAAATAAACCATAAGCACACAGACATATGTTAAGTCACATAGACAACCATTCAGTTAGATACCAACATAAAATCAGTCACACAGACATAAGTATAGTCACTTATGTTTAACTTTTGTAATTACAGGGGCAATCATTTCTATTTTTGTCATTACAGGCCTACATGGGGTGAGTTTTGCAAACATGAACAACATAATTGGGCACAAATAGGTTGTTAACCAAAAAAGTAGAAAACATATATAAAAAAAATAATGCAAAATGGGTAAAACTTAAGTACACTGCATAAAACAAGAGTATTTGTGTTTATCGTTAACATAGAACCAATTTCATCTTCATAAAACAGTAAAATCAGTTAATCTTCTTGTTTGGGAGTGAGAGTCATATTTTTATGAAGAAAAGTAATGGACTTATTTGAGTAGTTGTGTTATTTTGAGAAAGATTTCATTTTTAATAAAACTACAAAGTAACATACACTCAAATAACTATATAAATTTAATTGTAATGAAAAAAGTTGATTATTTTTTATTCTTAAAACTTTCTTTCAACATTCCGCATGATTTTAAGGCACACAAAGTCCAAATCAACCAAGGTATTTTAATGAACTTGATCCTCAGTTGGAGAAGTGCACCACAATTGTACAATACATTGGAAAAATCATTACTTTTTCGAAAGTCCTAGAGATTTTTTCTTTTGGACCTGTTTTAATCTTATAGCGTTATGTAGAATCACACAGACAATCATATTAGTCACACAGACATATGTAGAGTCACACAGACAATCATATAAGTTTTCACAGACAAATGGAACCACAATCAATTACACATGAGTTCACACAGACAAATATTTAGAGAAATCTATCTTCACAGTGACAATACATGTCCTTCAATAGGCATAAAATCAACCTTACGCAGACAATACATATCCCCACCTGACATTTTCCCAAACAAATACTATAGTATATATTATTCAAGATCCAAGCACTGGATGGGTTGAAAAACTTTATAAACAAAAATATCTTGTTTCATCCTCCAAATAAACATCATCAACTATATCAAAACTGTAAAAACTCTAAGGATAGAGGATACATGCCTTTCGGTCACAGAAGAAAGTGGGGTTCGACTGAGACAGAATCGACGGCGGGGAGGAGGGCTGCCTTCGACGAGAGTTGCCGGGGACGAAAGGGAAAGTTGTGGCGGTTCATTTACACATTATCTTCATGGGATTGCATTTTGCTTTCGCCTATAACGTATGCTGAATGGCTCACACATTTTTTTTTGCTGAATGGCTTGCTCTTTCTCTGTTCATTTATACAGGAAGCCATTTGTGAGTGAATGATTATGGTCACTCCTCCCGAGGTTTATACACGAAAGTGAAAAACCGGAATCTTCCTTTCACCGAACGGTAATTTCTCGATATTGATCCATTATTACTCTTCTGGTCATTTTTTCAACTCAAAAAAATAGTCGGCAGTTTGAATAGCACACACCTCCGAGTTCGAATTCTCTGCGTGTCGCCCCACCACAGTTTACAGTGTGGAAACGGCGGGCTGTTGAGTTCAGCGCTGCGGGTATAACCTCTGATCCGATTTACCAACTAATCCAAGTACACAACAGTTGCGTGCTAGCTCCGTTGCGTACAGTCTGGAGATTGGACAGTGTGAGAAAAAGCTGAAATGGGAAATATTTTTCATATATTTCTACTTTTGATCCCCGTTTTTGTGGGGGCGGCTGCAGCAAACCGTAATCCCATGATTGCTTTATCTACCCAATCCGAACTGAGGACATCGACGAAATCCGCCTCCGACGGGAATCTGAATTACCGGCCGGTCATCGGAATCGTCAGTCATCCCGGAGACGGAGCTAATGGCCGCCTCAGTAATGCTACCAACGTTTCCTACATTGCCGCTTCTTACGTCAAGTTCGTTGAGTCTGGTGGTGCTAGAGTCATTCCTCTTATTTATAACGAGCCTTCCGATATTCTCATCCAAGTAAGGCTCTTAATGCTTCAGGCTCTGCAAATTTTGGGGCTTTTCATCTGTTAAATAATGATTAATTTACAGAAACTCAATTTAGTTAATGGTGTACTGTTCACTGGAGGATCTTCCAAGAAGGGACCGTACTTTGAGGTTGTCAAGGGAATTTTCCAGGTAATTGGTCTTTAAGAAATGAAGTGATTGCTAAACATGTACTCCATATCAATTTTAATTAGCTAGCAACTACAAGTTCTGGGAGAGAGGTTTCTAGCTTTTCATTTTCAACACCCACTCTAAGCAACATCAAATTAATTTTGTATTAAATCCTACGGCTATGAGATTCTTCTCAATTATCATAGATTCATAATGAGTAAACATTAGGTTTGAATTAAAAGCCATAATAAAAATTATGAAATTATGGAATGTGATGATACTGACTTAAAGTAGAGAATGCAGCTATGCTTGCTTCCCATTTACTCCATATGTTTCATGGTTTATGGTTATACATGTACATGTGTGTGTGTGTTTCTTATTGTCCCTCCCATTGGTCATAACAAAAAGTGGTTTTTGTCGAGCATGGTATAACCATATATGCATAATTGTTATCCATCATCTGGAGTATCATTATTGTTGTTTTTGCTCTTATATTTATAATCATAATATCATCTTCTTCTTCTTGAAAAATTGTTAGATACTGAATTTGTAGCCTCTTTCTTTTTCTTGCAGAATGTCTTAGAGAAGAACGATGCAGGAGATTATTTCCCTCTTCTTGCCATCTGTTTGGGTTTTGAACTTTTAACAATGATTATCACAAAGGTATCTCTATTCGTGTTTTATACCTAAAGCAAGTTTATTGATGGTTCACTCACTTCACTGTAATAAGTTTTTTTAATCTTTTTTCTAGCATAGAGGTTGCACTGTAGAAAGAAGCAAACCTCTTATCACAAGGAAAGTATAACTAGGACATTCTAGAATGCATAGGTATGCTTGATTGCAAACTAGAGCTGCTAGATTAATTGGCTCTTTAGTTGATATTTTCTAAATTTCTAGTACTTCACAAAAGAGCAAACGCATTGAACTCGATTACTTCTTTATTCAAGAAAAAGTTCGTTTTGGAGAGATCACTGCCTCATTTGTTAGTTCTGAAGGATGAGTGGTGGATATATTAACCATGTCAACAACTGAGCCTCAGATTGAATGGATGTGTGGCAAGCTTGGAGCTATTGACCTTCATGCTCCAATTTCATGGGCAGTATATAAAAAAACTCACCCCCTCCCCGAGGGTCTCCAAAACCGGCATGGCAGCTTGCTTTGGCGGAGCTCTAATCGCAATATGATTGATAGAGAGTGGGATCTGCACCTGATACTTATAGGTACTCCTTGCTGAGCACGATTGCCCCTCACGTAGTTGTCAGGAGAGAGGGTAAGTGTTGAGAAACATAAGAATTGGGTGCGTTTATACAGAAGGGGCATTGATGCACTCAAGGTTGGGTGATATGTTTAAGATTTCAGAGTTTAGATGAAAGTTTATTTGTATATTTCTTCTGTTTTATGTTTTCCTTTAATGGAACACTTAAAGGTTGCATGTAAGTAGAACACCAGATATTGCCCTATACCCTTATCAGATCCGTTTTATTTATTACTTGTGAAATTTAAGGCCCCATTCCTTAACAATTCGCTCCAGGACAATAATATTCTTGAATTGTTTAATGCAACTAATCAAGCATCTAAGCTACAATTCGTGGAGGGTGCCAGTTTTGAAGGAACCCTCTTTCAGAGGTATATGTCTATTATAACTAATTAGTATTTGTTTATAGGAACTATTTAGAAGACAGATCAACAAGTTACGAGTACTTAATGTTCGTAATGGAGGAGCTATTTCGCTGTTTGATGGAGTGACTGTCTGAAATATGTTATACCTTTTACAGGTTCCCTTCTGAGTTGCTAAAAAAGTTGAGTGAGGATCGCCTTGCCATGCAACATCATCGCGTGAGTTCCCCAGAACCAGATTGTATTTCCCATTGTTTTGCTATGATAATTAGTTATAATTATGGATTTACACAAAAGCAGACTTTTCTGTTATATTCTTAGCAAGCAAGCTGTTCTTATTCTCTCTTTTTGAAACAGTATGGCATTTCACCAGAAACATTTCGAGCAAATGCAGACCTGTGTAGCTTTTTCAGGATGTTGACAACATGTGCTGATAAAGATAATAAGGTAAGCAAATACCACACTACATCAGATATGACAATTTCTACTCCTGCATTCCCTTCAATGGGTTGATTCTAACATCTATGAGTTAAAATAATGTGACACTGTGTCAGGTCTATGTCTCTACAGTTCAAGCAAAGAGCTACCCTGTAACTGCTGCGCAGTGGCACCCAGAGGTTTGTCTTAGTGAAAATACATAACTATCCGGTAAAATATTTTACATTTTTTTAAATAATAAACTTGCTGTGACAAAGGTTAAAATTGTGCCTTTTATGATCTAGAAAAATGCTTTTGAATGGGGCTTATCTCAAATTCCACACACAGAAGATGCAATTCAAGTGACTCAACATGTTGCCAACTACTTTGTTAGGTAGGGTTATTTCCTACAATCCATTATCACTGTAGGTATTGCAATATATTAGCTTAAGTTTTGTCCTTATTTTTTTACTGAAGGAATGGGAATATATTAGCTTAGGCTCTAAATATAAGGTTTTGCAAATTAACTCAAGATGTTGAGTGTTTCACAGCAAGACACTGCCCTCTTGGATATTTCTTGGACTAAGACCAAAACTAAGATCATTTTTAGATTTCAGTCAGTTATCCGTGGCAGATAGGGATTAGATAATTCACTGAAGCAGCAGAGTTAGAAAAGTTTTTTTGTAATTATAAAACAGAGATCTACCTAAAAAAGGGGGAAAACTATAGAAAACCTATGCTCAGTACAGGATGGAGTTCCTATGAAGTTTTTTTCAGGTCTCTCCAGGATTTGATGGATACTGAGTTACAGACTATACTACCTTTCAGTATCATTCTAGATTATTTTTCATAAATGTATTTCTTGTTTTCTAATTTTATTCATTATGTTTTTCAGTGAAGCCCCAAACTCTTTTGGGACTAAGACTTGGATGATGATGTTGTTGTTGTTGTATGTTTTCCAGTGAAGCAAGGAAGTCTTTAAACAGACCAGATGCTCAAAGAGTGCGTGACAACCTTATATACAACTATAGTCCCTCTTACAGTGGGAAGGCGGGGTAAGTACCTTTTCAGACTGCTTTCGTAATGTGGCAATAAATTTTTGGGTATTTATATCTTTCTTTTTCCTACAGGAGAGGTTATGATGAGGTTTACATCTTCACTCAACAATCTGAGTTCTTTTCAGATTGTAGTCGTCAGTCAAGCGTGCAGGAAACCGAACTATCAGACCATTTGTAGTGGTCAAGAGTCCAAATTGTTAAATTTGGACTCCGTTCATATGAAAACAGTGATTAGACTCCGTCAATACTATTTTTCTCTGCATCCGTGCACCGTCAATAAAATACACTCTGCATATTTTTTACATATGAATTTAGTAAAACATTAATTAAATTATTATAAGTAATGTTTTTCTTTTAATTTTTCCCCTGAATAATTATGAAATAAAAAATACACATTTCGATGTAAAAATAAATAATTTTCACAGCTTTTTTTTTAACATTTTTTGGTCAAAAAATGAATTTGTTTAAGTGAAGCTCGATTATAGAATATTCAGTTATTTGTGAAAACTTCATGAATTAAAAATGTGTTTCGTTTTTTTAGTTCAAGAAACTGCAACAGTTAAAATTTCAAATACAAATCATTTTATATATCACATATGGATGTCATATGAAAGATCATAAAAATTTAAGAATTTTGATATATTTTTTGAAAAATTTAGATAACAAATAAAAAAGTTATATAAGTTTAAAAAAAATTGGGATATAATGTTGCAAGGGTGACACCAGCATGACATCATCATCACCGAAAGAAAACATGAAGCGGTGTCATTCTTTTTCTTTTTCTTTTTTCCACTCTTCTAAACTCACCCTCTATATTTAACCCCCCTCCATCCCCTTCTATATTTTTAATACCCCTTTTAAACCACCACTACACACAATTAGGAGTCCAAAAGTTCCATATTTAACATTTTGGACTCTTAATACCTCACCACTCCAAATGGTCTCAATGTTCAGTCGGGCAAATCATGCAGTCACCTCATAAGCCAGCTTGCTCTCATTATTGGAGAACACTTGTAATTAAATACTCCGTACAAAATTTAGTGTCAAGCATTCTATTCCATTGTTATTCTGTCATTTCCTATTGTTGGTTCTATTATTTCAACGGGTTCAGTCAAAGAAGGCGCTTTATGTAATTAGGGATATGGAACATATATACCCTTCAACTATGTGATAGAGAACATATATATAGGGATGGACTCGGGCTGGGCGGCCCGGAACCAGCCCGGCCCGGTTACTGTTTGAACCGGCCCGAGGGGCGGTTCGGGTCGGCCCGGCCGGTTCGGGTCCGGTTCGGGCCAAATTAATTTTTTTTTTTTGAATTTTTTTTAAGTTTTTGGGTTGGACTTGGTATTTTGGGCCATTTGAGGTGGTTTGGGGTGGTTTGGGGGTGAGGGGGGAGGGTTGGGGGTTAATTAGGAAAAGCCAAAAAAAAAATAGAACCGAGGCCCGGCCCGGCCCGGCCCAGACCCGGGATTACCCGGGCCGGTTCCGGGCCTCCCATTTCTGAACCGGGCCCGAACCGGAACCGGTCCACCCATACATATATACCCCTCATCTATTTTTTATTACAAAAGTCTTGTAAAAGCGAACATAAGAGCCAAATATATCCCTTCCTTTAGGCCAGGGCCGTTGCCGTCAAATCCCCGTTAATCATACTTTCTTGACATATTCTATTTCGTATCTGTCTTTTTTTTGACAAATGAGTTTCTTAACCTACTTTATTATTTCTCTCAAATCTCAAACGATATAGATTAACTTGTTTAGGAGACAACATACTATGTACGTAGTACGGAGTAATATATCTAAAAATGCATAGCCGCATCTTCATTTCTAGAGAAGCTCATACAGCTTCATTGAAGAATTGTTATCAGCATATAAAAGTGGAGGTTCGTTTTGGATAGTTTAGGGACAAAAAAATAAAATGGGCCTAATATAAAAAACACTATAAAATCATTTTCCATCTAAACTAACATGTAATATCCTCCGTTCTTTAAGAATGTTTTTACTTGAATTGTTTTTTATCCCAGATCAAACCAGACTTAAACAGATCAGGTCAGACCAAACTTAAACAAAGCAGACCAGACCAGACCAGACTTTCATAGTTATAAAATACACAAAGACCAGATGTTTGTCATTCCAGACTTAAACAAACCAGATCAGACCAGACCAGACTTAAACAGACCAGATCAGCAAATTACACTCCAAGTTAGAATATCCTAAAAGTTGCAATAGTTTGACTTTCACGTTTGTCATGACACAACTTTGACTGTCATTATATTTAATTATGTATCGGTAAAAATTAAAAAAAGTTAATACTCCTATTCGAATTTATATAGTATACTTTTTTACTCGCTAGGCACATAAGAGCCGAGTTTGAAACTCAATGAAGTGAGTTTTAGCCCTAATTACTCCAGGCTCCTCCCAGCCCCCCCCAGACCTCCCCTAGAGTAAAAAAAGAGAGAGAACTTAGAGAAAAGGAATGATTTAACTAGAGGAAATGAAACTATATATTCAGAATTATCACATTATTGGAAAGAGAAATTTTGGAGGTGATAATAGTAGAATTAATTTCTTAAGTAAGACTAAAATATTAGTTAAGTGAACAAGTAGACCACCATTTTTTTCATCCTGGATAAGGACCACCAACGCTATATATAATATTTTTGGTTTGACAGAAGAGAGTTTTACAATTTTTGATGAACATTTTCAAACATTATTCAAAACGTTGAGAATGTTATTTAAAATTGAGGTTTTAAAAGTTGCAACATTGAGATTTTCAAACTATTCACACACCTTACTTTATCTACGACTTTTTAATATTATATACTCCTATAATCAAATTATCATGCATAAAATGTTATTAAATTTATTTTAATGTAAACTTCCCAAATATTAACTTTTTAAATTTTTACAAATACGTAATTAAATATAATGATAGTTAAAGTTGTGTGTTGGCAAACGTGAAAGTCAAACGGTTGCGACTTTTAGGATGTTTTTACTTAGATTGTAATTTGCTGGTCTGGTCTGTTTAAGTCTAGTCTGATCTGATCTGGTCTGTTAAAGTCTGGTCTGTTCTGATTTGATCCGAACCGGTCTAGTCTAGCAAACGTCCGGTCTCTGTGTATTTTATAACTACGAAAGTTAAGTCTGATTTGGTCTGGTGTGATCTGTTTAAGTCTGGTCTGACCTGGGGTGATTAAGTTTGTTCTGGTCTAGTCTAGAACTCAAAACAATTCAACATGCTTAAAGAATGAAGGATATTACATGTTAGTTTAGCCAGAAAGTGATTTTACTGTTTATTTTAAAAATTAGGCCCATTTTAATTTTTTCCCCAAAACTTTCTAAAACACTCCCCCACTTTTATACGTTGTATGAGCTTCTCTAGAAATGAAGATGCGGCCATGCATTTTTAAATATAGTATTACTTCGTAGTTCGTACATAGTTGATTTATATCGTTTGAGAAAAAAATTGATAGTGGGTTAAGAAACCCATTTGTGGGAAAAAATTGATATGGAATACACGACGACAAGAAAGTGTTATTAACGGGGATTTGACGGCAGTAGCCATGACCTAAAGGAAAGGGTATATTTGGCTCTTATGTTTGCTTTTACAAGGTTTTTGTACTCAAAAATAGATGAGGGGTATATAGGTTGAGTCTTTAACTATGCCTTCATCACATAGTTGAAGGGTATATACGTTCCATATCCCTATGTAATTATGTTGAGTCTTTTTTTGAGTCAATTCTAGATTCTTTTTTTAAGCTTATTAAATCACTTTGAACTCGAAGACATACAACCCGATAAAAAATCATGACACTATCAATAACCCTAGATTCAAACATAGGATCAATAACCCTAGATTACATAGGATCAATAAATAATCTGTTGACCATGAATAGAGTAACTATAAGTCGATGGTGACCAAACTTGACTCTTTATATCCCTAGTCTTCAATTGGACCAGAACCCTTACAATGAAAAACCAAAACAATAACCAAGTGAAAATAATCAAACAGAGTTCATATATAAAACCTAGAGTTACTAGAAAAACTAAAAGGTAGTCCACGCTAAGAGAAAATTGAGACATTGGAGAACCCAAGCGGGTCTGGAAACCAAAGCCAGTCTTCTATTCACCTACTAGCCGAGCATCCTCAATTATTACCGTCATAATATAAATGTTAGCGAAACATTGTTGTTGACATTGTCTCGTAGAGACCCAGGGGCGGCTTTAGGATGTTAGAGGCCCTAGACAACTCTTACATAATTACATTAGCAATATGATTTTCCCAATGATGGTGAATTCCGATTGAGTCCATTTTCAAATTAATAAATGGTCTTAAACTAGCAATACATCCATTTTCATTTGTTTGTCACCGCAATATCTACATAGGCATAGGTAAATCAAAAATTACAAACAATCAATCAATAAAAAGCTAAAATTGAAAAAAACATGTTTTTGTGCGTGACAAAAACAAATCAAACAAAATAACCACTTTATTAGTAAAATTTACGTAAATACTTCGTATTTCAATCATCACAATCAGAAAGTATATATATTTCATGTATTAATCGTCCAACTCTTACAATACCAATATAATTATATAATTTTAACATTATAGTTCATTGATCATATGTTTAAGTATATAATTTTAGACCTTCCCTTGCACGTCATAAATAATACGAAGTACATAGTACTATCGGATTTAGGAATTTACCTCAACAAAAAGGTAAAACAGAACATGCTTAATTGAGGAATTTACCTAAAATGAAAGAAATATATAGCTGGTGCTTTTCTAATATAGCCATTTCTATCGTTTTTAGTTTTTACACAAGCAATAGCCAGGTGAGCCATGCAATAGAGAGCGAGACCGTAAGACCAATTAAGTCTATTTTATTGACTAAAATTTAGAGGAAATCAAACAAAGAGTAATAAGAGAATTAGAGAAGTAGAGAACTGGATTCGCTAACTCAGGTCGGGGGCGACGGGTTGGTCATCCGATGGTCAGTACTCAGCAGTACCAGTCACAGGCCAGGAAGATGAAAGGGCGGTCTGGCTTTCTGTGGTCGGATGAGAAGCTGCGGGTTGCCAATTGGGATTTGGGATTTGCCGACTAGGGCGTCGACAATTGCGTTATTGCCGATTTGCAAGCTAATATTAATAGAGATAAATTATAGAGATGTAAATATTGAATAATGAATAATCTGCTTCATATTCATGGAGTACATACGCACCTATATATATTACAATAAGCATGAGAGAGAGTCTAGCTAATATGATTGAAGCATGGGCCATACAAATGCAAACTTACAAACTTACGTACATACATGCATGAAATATATGTAATATAATAATAATAATATTAAACTAAATATCTCAATACTCCCCCTCAAGGTGGAGTGTGAAGATTACGAACACCCAACTTGCTCCGAAGAAACTGAAAACGATCTGCACCAAGTGCTTTGGTAAATATATCTGCCACCTGATTAGTTGTGGAGATAGAAAGCGGTTGAATCTCCTGACTAGCAACCCGTTCACGTACAAAATAGCAGTCTATCTCTACATGTTTTGTGCGTTCGTGAAAGACCGGGTTAATTGCAATATGTCGAGCTGCTTGATTATCACAGTAAAGGGGTGTGGGGCCAATTTGAGGTATTGTAAGGTCTTTGAGTAACCACCGCAACCATAAAATCTCACTAACTGAAACGGCCATAGCACGATATTCTGCTTCCGCGGAAGAACGAGATACAACAGATTGCTTTTTGGTCCGCCAAGAGACTGGTGAACTCCCAAGAGTGATGAAGTAACCTGTACTAGATCGACGAGTAAACGAGCATCCTGCCCAATCGGCATCACAATAACCTTTTAATGTGTAGTCAGCCTCAGAAGATAAGAATATTCCTTGACCGATCGTTTGCTTTAAGTAGCGTAGAATACGTATGGCGGCATCAAGGTGAGTTTGTCTTGGGGTGCTGAGAAACTGACTGAGTTGACTTACGGAATAAACAATGTCTGGACGGGTAACAGTGAGATATAATAGACGTCCAATGAGTCGTCGGTAGGAAGAAGCATCTACCGCGGGGCTGTCGTCATCCGGGCGAAGTTTCAAATTTTGTTCCATGGGAAATTGACTAGGGCGACCTGCCAGAAGGCCACACTCTTCCAAGATGTCAAGAGTATATTTGCGTTGGCTTAATACAAAACCTTCTGAAGAACGAGCAACTTCAATCCCAAGAAAATATTTGAGTGCACCCAAATCTTTGATGCTAAACTCTGTATCTAGATAATTTTTCACGGTGTGAATATGAGGGGCGTCACTTCCAGCCAAAAGAACATCAT